CTTTTATTGAACTGAGGTAAACAATGCCTGTAACCTTAACAAGTCCTATCTTAATCGTCCATCTAACTGGAACTTCCTTTACCTCTTAATTGGAGGGTTCAGTGGCCCTCAACTCTCCTGTAGCCTCTTTCTTGAGAATATCGAAATCATTCTGGCTGGCGATATTAATCTCAGGTAAAAATCTGCCCGAGTGTTATTTTCAAAGAGCAGCTCCCGCAACCCTGGGGGCACTAGATAAAATCTGGACACCAGGTTTAATAACGAGCTAGAGAAAAAAAGGAAGAATTTTTCCTGCAAAGCTTCAAAGAATTTTGACACGGATTTGACCCAGCTTACCCCTCCAAACTAACAGGGTGACATGGGCAATTTTTACAGACAAATAATTAAACTTAGATGTATCACAGATCTGTCGTGTCGTACAATTGGTTGTTTTTGGGAGCCATGCATCCACATTTAAGGTGAATGAAACCGTATGTTAGTTAAACTCAGAGGTGGATCCAGGATTCTTCGAAGGTCCAGGATTCTTCGAAGGGGGTTCCACATGTGCGAAACTAGCCTCCTTTAAATAAATATACCGTTCTGGGTAATAAGAATATTGAAACTTTTTTAATTGCAAGAATATTTCTGACTAAATGATGATTTTATTATTAATGGAAATTAGGCTGCGATGTGTGGTACATATGCTGTGATTACGCTGTCCTTCATCTGTTGCGTTAGTCTACATTTTGCTGGGAATTTTAAAAATCTGTGCGTACAATTTTTAAAGGTCTGGTTACGCCCCTGACTGGTGTGAGTGATTTTGCTGAAATAGTAGCGCTAAGTGGTCCAATAATGTAGCATAACGGGCAAATAGGCAGACCAGTCCTTTCTGTGCATTTTTGGCATTTCTTGCACGATGAAAACGCCCCAGCAAACACAAAACCGTTAACCGCTCAATCAGACTATGGATTACTGAAAGACTTACATCTTGTCTTCTAGCAGTGTTTTGAATACCAAAACCTGCGTTTTATAAGCTTATATCCCTCCCTCTTTTCTCCAGTGAGAAATAACGGTCTTGAGACACGGCTAGAAAATGTTAGTCAAAGCTTTTGCAGTGTGATTCTCACGGTGGATATTTATATGCAGCATAGCCCCTAGGAGTTTTGAGTCCAAATAATTTTACCTACTTTTTTTGCGAATTTCACTAGCATAAAACCATAATTATTACTTTTAACGAGTGCAAAATCTATTTTATTGCAGCACAGTTTAAGTAGAAATAAAGGATGAGTTTGTCTAAAAGTGGCTAAATGGAATAGTTCAAACTTTTGCATTTTAAATGTCGGGTGCTGCCTAACTTTTTTTGAATAGTATAGGTTGTATTAGTGCTATAATATATATCAAAAGAGGTCAAGTATCCTAATTATCTTAAGGTTATACACCCTTTCACTATTAGCCAAAATCAGGCAAAAAACTACTTTGTATAAAACTAGTTGTTAAAACTACTTTGTATAATGCTAGTCGTTATAATACTATCTTATAATGTTTATGGACACCATTCGTCTTCAAAAAGAGTATGGCAACTTGCTGACGCATCATATCAGCGTTTCAGATGTGAAAGTGCTATTGTCGGTTTCTAAGTATTCCCTACTACCTAGGCTTGTATCAGAAAGTGTTCAGCGTCAAATAGGAGCAGTTCGTGGATGCTGTAGGGCGGTACGACCGCTTTTCTTAAAAACACTTGGTTTAGATTTTATCACTCATAACTTTAAGTTACACCAAGACGGCATAACATCGGATGGAAATATTTTCTCAAAACACTTTTGTCAAGAACTACAACAATCTAGGCCAACATATTTCTAACTACACCCTCTAAAGGTTATTTGATTGTTTTCGAAAAATGCACCCAGGTACCTCTGGTAAAAATGGTACCTTAGTACAACGAAAGTTCTACCAATTATCGATATACATTATGATCAGCATAGTCGCTTGAGATAAGTCAGATATGATAGATTGATTCAAAACTAGCAAAAGAAAGAATTCAAGTCAGGTCATATGGTGATAAATTTCAGGTATATAAATCGGAAATACCTTACCTTAACATACGCATATCTAAATACGAATATGAAAGTAATAGTAACATTGTAAAAAAAAAGAAACACAGACGTCTCACATGTAAGAAAACATGACTACGTTCTTTTTGAGCCACCAGCTCTGCATCTTTCATTGTTTATCCTCACTTAAAGTGCGGTCTCAAAATAATTGTCAACTTCTGATTTTAGTTACTTTGTGAACAAAACGAATAAAGTCGAAAGCTGACTCCAGCTGTCCCTGCTGTCAGGGCAGAAAACTACAAATCCTTGTTTCAAAAATAATCTAAAAAAGCCACTTACCTTTTGTTTCACTCTTAACACCTTAGAGCAAAATTTATAGTAGCCTAGACGATGATTTAGTCAATTTGGTGACGATAGAGTCTATTAAGCAACTTTGCATTGCTGGTTTTTTTATTTCTCAAACGGTTTGTCTGCTAAACATTGGTTGTCTTCACTTATTGTGCTATGTTACTATAGTTACAAGTTTTCCATTGGCTAATACTTTGCCAGTCATATACACATCTTTTGCAATTATGCTACGGTTTTTCCGCCAGGCCATAGCAGGTTAAACCATTAATAACTTAATCACCTTTAAAAAGTATAGTGTAAGTGGATATTTATCTATTTTTATATTGACACGGCAACTTTATTGGGAATTATAAAAGGGGCTGTACGTAATGATAACGTCACGCGGTTTAATATATGAAAAAAAAATTGTTCTGGTTCTCTACCAGCTTTATTTCTTCAAATACAGAAAACCCAGTTACAAGACTAAGCAACGTCTCCGGACGTCTCCAATGTGTATCAATATGTCTCCCTGAACAGTGATCTTAAAGCTGTACATATACTGTATATATATACCGTTTAGAGAGCCTTTCTATTCAAAGCAGTGATTGCATTATTCTAATCATACAACCTTAATTCATTCGTACTCTAATATATAAATGCGGGCCAACAAGTAAACTACTGTGATATCCACTACTGAATACTAAACATTAGCTTTTATTAGGAAAACTTAGTACCTGGCTAAGTACCTGATAACTTCATTAGCCCTAAACCTGTGTAATAAGTAATGGAAAATTAAAAATAAAAAAATGTAAAAACTGACTAGGCGTAAAGAGAGTTCGTCAATGGGAGACAGTGCATATGAAATATCTGTTGAAAGTAACAGCGATGACACGTGATATGTTGTCCTGAATGACAGGGTAATTTATAAGAGGTTACTTCATGTAATACCAAAAGAAGTCATTAACTAGTAATCTTAGACAAGAGGTCTTTGCAGTTGACTGCGTTCTTTTGCACTGATACTGACAATTGTGTTTTTGCTCATATCACTGCGTGATACACGTGATCTGTAACCTGTGAATGAGAGGATAATTATTTAAATAGAGGTCTTTTTAAGTAACAGATAGCCTGAAATGACACTATTCTTCTAACCCTTAAAAACAATAGATCATTCTCGAGTCCAGTAGGGGGAGTGGAGTCTCCGCCAATTAGTGATACATCAGCTTCCCATTATACACTTCAATCTGACCCCCAAATCCTATGAAACGATCACATGACAAATGCGCAATTATGCTTTGCACTGGATTAACTGTCGAATCCACCTGTTGTGGAGCTTATATCATAATTTTGCTTTTAAGGCAATGCACAAATATGGGCTCCGCTGCTTATTTTCAGAGACAGAATGCTAACTACCCAACACAGTGTCAGAGAGGACACGTTATCTACTGTTCGAAGCGTTTATGGATGTCAAACGCTTTTGTATGCACGCATGCTGTAGGTTTTATGATGGCATTACGTCCTTGTTTATTAAATTCAATTTTTTTCAATTCAATTCAATTTATTTCTGTACTGGTACATAGATTGTCATGACCTTGTACAATATGATATACAAATGATGATACAATACAGTTAGTGTGTACATTAAATGTTCTTACGTTTCT